TGGTCTATATAGTGAGTTCCAGGCCAACAAAGGCTACAGGGAAACCATGTCACAAATAAAAAAAGAATGAAGGGGGAGAGAGAGAGAGAGAGAGAGAGAGAGAGAGAGAGAGAGAGGAAGAAGAAGAAGAAGAAGAAGAAGAAGAAGAAGAAGAAGAAGAAGAAGAAGAAGAAAGCAGGAAAGAAAAAGAAAGAAAGGAAGAAAGAAAGAAAAATTAAAGAAACCCCGGAAAAGGATGTTTACTTAAAAAAAAAAATCAAAGACTGAAATGCCCACTTATTGGGAAGCTGGAGTAGCAAGTTGGATTACTGCCCATAAGGAAGGCAACGTCCAATTTACATGTGAAAATTGTGAGCACCAACAGGATGATGTTATAAACTTTTTGCCTCCATCCACAGTACCTGTGTCTATACATATATTACTGTTATCTTACTTCACATAGAGATGTGTGCAGTTTTGTTAATAAATAATATCTCTCACTTGAATAGCTCATAAAACTTCTATAGAGGAAATGTAAAAAGACCAAATCATGCTAAAAGTTAACATCATTTTTCTCTTCAGAGTGTTAAATAAGAATTAATTTAGACTAAGCTGTATAGACATTCCATTTTAGTATTTTATAGACAGAACTATACTATAGGTAATATGCTGTATTCAACTTTATTATTTATCTTTAATTAAAAAACCATTCTGTGCCATACATGAATAGTCCAAGCCCTCATGTCGCTTGCCTTAAATAAAATATTATCTTTTGGCTCCCTTTTGCACTAGAGGAAATAAAAAGCCACATGTGGAGCAGTTTGAAAACTAGACAGAAATGATCCTTGGAGGGCAGTTTCTATCTCCCACAGAAGTAGTGCAGACTTCTTCCATTAGCATAGACCCAGGGACCAAAGTGATCCAGAGCTATTAAGGTACCTGCAAACATAGTCAACGTATCTTCAGTGCAGCAAGCATGTGAAGGAACACCCATAGCTGCATCAAAGTATCTGAAATGAAAAACAACAATTATAATATTTCACATTTGAAAAGATTGTACAGATGCTGACATTTTGTTTGTGGTTGTAGAGAAGAACGGAAAGCAGTTTCCAGACTTCACCCTCAACACTTACCATTTGGCAGAGGATATGGGAGGCTGGAGAAGACAGAATGAGCTTTGCCTTAGTTGAAACAGCTGTGAAACATATGGTGGCTCATGTGAAGTGAAGCTTGCCAAAGGTCTCATCCAAACTCCTACCCATTTCCACCAATAATAGCCAGTCAGGTGATTACTGTGAAGGACTTTGTATCAGCAAATGATAAACTTGAAAAGAATAAAAAAGAAAAACTCACTAATTTTTTAAAAATTCAAGATTATCGAAAACAGAAGACCCAAAAATGCAATTGTAAAGAGCATGTTTTTAAATTTTATTGAAGTTTTGCAATTTTGATAAAGTATATTTTGATGATGGTATTTAGATCCAGTCCCATATCTGCACTGTCCCTTACTGCCCCCATCCAATTTAATGTACTCTATCATATATATATACTTACAATAAGGCCTATAGACTCTAACTTGTGTCCGCAGAAGTCCATCAGTGTGGGTTCATCCACTGGAGCCTGGTTAATTTGCCATGAGTCACATCCTCTAAAGAGATGAACTCTCCCTGTTCCAGCAGCCATTGGTTGCCAATAGTTCCTCAGGTAGGGTTGGGGTTCTTATCCACTTTCCCATGTCTGTGCTGGAATTCTTCTTGGTTTTTGCTTGCATAAGATTTCTGTATGAACCATGAGTTCGTATGAGTAATTGACCAGCTTCCAGCAACACTATTTCCTTGTCCCACCAATTCTGGCTAAAGGGCTGCCTTAACTCCATTGCCTTTCCTCTAACGTGATGATGCAAAGTATCACAAAACTACACTTCTTCCTGTAGAAGTTCAGTGATTCCTTCTGTGATTATTGCAAATTTATGTGTGCATAGCTCACCACATTTCGCTCAGTGGATTTCCCTTCCAGAGCAATTTTGGTTTGGAATTCAGGCATTCTGTAAATTGATTTTGGATTGAAGTATTGAATTATGGCCAATTTTTTTTTTCTTAAATCCAGTCACTGGCTTTATAAACCCTCTGTTGTATATTTCTAGTCAAAATGGATGTATGTTTTCACCCATTACATGTGACTATCCTTCTAAGCATCAGCCCGTGTTTTGTGTGTTTGTGGGTCTGTGATGTATTTGTGAAATACTTTTGAATATTGCAAAAGCTAGAGGAGATCAATTTCAAAGAAACAAAAATAAATACAAGTTAATAGCCTTTTCTCAATGTGAATTTGTTCATTCATGCTTGCATTAGGGAATGTGCTAATCATGAATCATTCGCAGTGAATTGCTCATGAGAAAAAATGTGCTGGTGTTGCCATCAGTTTTGAATTGCCTGACCGAAGGAAAAGAGCATTGTCTCAGTATAAGTAATAACCAGACACAGATCCCAGGCAGAGTGAGTACAAGCTGGCAAAAGTTCTTTTGATTCATGTGAACATAGAATACATGTTCCTAAGAAGGATTTAAAAATGAATGTTCTTGCTGTGATTGAGTTTACAGTCAGACAGAACAGTCCCTGGGGTGCGGGGAAATTGATCATTTGGAAATTTTATTCACACCATGCCAAAACAGCTCAATGTTACATGTGGATGTTGGCAAAACTGTAGCTTAAGAAACAAGTGTGTGATGATGTATAGGTTCCACTTGGAACAAGGTAGGTTGGCTTTATGCAAGCATGCCTAACTGAGAGCTCACATTTGTTACAAACTCACCTGGTTCTAGTGGCATCCTGGGGTATAATCAGCCTGTGTATCACTAACATCCATTGCCCTGGATAGGGTGTTTGGTTGTCAAGGAAGGAAAACAGTCAACATGGAGGTAAGTAAGGCCTAGCAATGTGATCTGCGATTGATGAAGAATTTTAGGTTTTGTGAGTGCATCATTCAGGGAAACATATTGTGTGACCCACCAAAGGAAAAGGAATGCCCCATGTGCCAAGATTGGTGGGAGCTTCTTACTGCTGCTGTTAGACCTAGAAAACTACATCTGATCAGCTTAGAAATTCTGTCTAGTGGATTTCCATTATGCACTGACTTCTTCACTAAGATTAGACTACAGGGTTTAAAAAGAGAGAAAGAACACTGAAAAATTCATTTTTAAAATTCCTTGGCAAAGGATTAGAAAAAATGAATAGAGTTTGCAAGACTATTTCTCAGCTATAGCATATTATAATTACCTAATTATAAGCAACTAAGGTGACATTTTTAAAGTCTTTGGTTAACCATCATTTTTCCTGCATCACTTTTATCATTTGAGCTCATGGAAGAGTTACTTGTCCTGATTAAGCTATCACAGCTCATGTACACCTAATAAAAGTTAATTCAAATCCAAAAATATTCTTTAGATTACTTGCATGTCTTTCTTGATCACATTGGTATTTCACTCAATTTAATATGAAATTGTGGAGCTGGATATGGTTGTTGTTATAGATACATGGTGAGTGCAGATGATTTTTCCTATTCATGACACATTCTGGTCTTTAGTAAACAGAGAATGCCTTCAAACCTACATCTTAGGGATATTAGAAGTATAAATAAAATAATTTTCATTAATGTTGTATTTATCTCTTTGAAAATGAAATGATATATTCCAAGTTATTTTTGTAATTCCACATGGTATTGGGTAAATTTCACCAGGTCCCATCTCGGGATGAAGAGCTATAAGCAATCAATAGATTTTGAGGGAGCGAGAACCAGTTTTCTCCAGGGAATAGCTCACTGAGAGGTTATCTGTTCCAAGGTAGGCAGTCCTAAACACAGGCACACGAGCACCACTAAATTGACTCAGTGCATTATGCATGTATATTTATAAATGTGTGTATATATATGTAACAATAAAATCAAAGAAGAGGATAAGAAATTGAGAGGGAGTTGGGGGGACATGGAAGGAGTTGGTGGGAGACTGGGAGAGATATAAATAACACAAGACAATACTCATTACTTGTGTGAAATTTTAAAAAATGAAACATAAAGTCTTGATGTGGATAGTTGTCATTAGGTGTACGTTTTGTGTTTATCATGTATGTAGAATAAAAATTTTAAATTCTGTTTAATAATTAAGGCATATTGCTATCATTTTGCTCATAGATTACATCTGGAACTAAAGATGGTATACTGTAAGAAAAGAGCATAACTATTTTCAGCAAGGTTCTTAAATAGAAACAGAAAGGATAATGAGTATGCAGGCACCTTTCCATATGCTTGCTGCTCTAAACTTGAACTTAAGATTTCTTTATTTATTTCTTTATTTATTATTTTTCATTCATTTAGTGTGTGTGTGTGTGTGTGTGTGTGTGTGTGTGTGTGTGCGCGCGCGCGCGCGTGCGCTGGTGCCCAAGGTCAGAAGAAGACATTGGGTTCCCTGAAGATGGAGTTACGGGCAGCAGTAGTGAGCTGCTGAATTGGGCTCTGAGAAGGTAACTTGCATCCCCTGAGAAGCGGCGCATGTTCTTAACCACTGAGCCATCTTCGCAACACTTTCAGCTTGAACTCTGAGGGCAATTCATTAAATATTTGTTTGCTAAGGTAGTCACATTCTCAGTTGTTACTTCTTTCTGCAATCACTCAGGCCTCAAGAGTATGTAATGAGTTGAAATTTCATGTCTAAATGGTTTCTTAATGAGACTTTGGTTTAGTTTATTAAAACAGATTTACCTTATGAGAAGTCAAAAATTTTGTTCATATTTTATAGAAACATAAAACACTATCCTGGTTTGACTATGAGTTACTAGATAACATATTTTTTTAAATAAAGGAAATGAACCTTACCCTGTAAAGTGTGATCAATCTTACTGTCCTTGTCTTTATCTGTCTCCTGTCTAGCAAAATACTTGGAAAAAAAGTTATTCCATAACTATGAATGACACATTTGTACATATTTTGATGAATGTATTGATGCCAATCCTCTTTCACTTTTCCCCCAGATTCCCAGGAAGGAAATTACAAATCAGAAGTCAACAGCAAGCCTAGGAAGGAAAGGACAGCTTTTACCAAAGAGCAAATCAGAGAACTTGAGGCGGAATTTGCCCATCATAATTATTTGACCAGACTGAGGCGATATGAGATAGCAGTGAATCTAGATCTCACGGAAAGACAGGTAAAGTGCGACCTTGTCATAACACGATTGTTTATGGTGCTCTACCTCAACGGTCTTTTGCAGTTTTTGAAATGTGTAGATCAGCAGTTCTTAAATACCAATTAGAATATGGTGCACTATTACATAATGAAATTTTAGATCAGTGAGACGACAAAATTAAAGACAACATAGTGATATTTTAATGAAACGTCATGAGTCATTGAGTTTTAATAAAGAATCCTCTGAGATGATGATTCTCTTTTTTTGTTTCACAAACATCAGTTGCCTCAAATAATATTGACATATGGTGGGGTACTTTCTGTGCTTGTATTTAAAACTATTCATTATAATAAAAGACTAGTTTTCTGTACTGGTCACGATAGGCCATGCTATGTTCTGATAGCACATTAACCCTTCAAATAATAGCTAATACACAAAACAAGTTCTGTCATTGTCTTATTTTCCACACATAGTCTAGGACCAACATTCTAAATAGTGACTCACAGTCCAATTGCACTCCCTGCAATCTCACCATGCAGTGGTGTTGGTGACCATAGGAGGTAAGAAAAAACTGGAAGTTTGTGCACTGACCTCTAAATGTAAGTGACCCATGTTACTTCCATTTACATTCTTATGACACAGTCCAATGGTGTAGCTTAGACACAAGAAGACTGGAAGACTGGGTAACGATGGGCAGCAAAGACACACAGGTCATTGGGAAACACTTCTGCCCCATTGCCTCAAATGTTTTTCCAAATCTTATTGGTCTTCAAAATTCAATATTTTACTATCCACTCAAAGCATGCTTTCAAAGTATTAATGATGTAGAAGCTCAATTAATAAGATTCAAATAATATTTTTAAATTAATTGATTATAGGTCCCTTTATTGGATTTTATTCAGGTGACAAATGACTTTTCCTGTCACTACACACAGGGTTCTCCTTGTAAAAATTCCTGTTTATGCTAGGTGAATCTAGTCTGCAGGTGGTTAACAGCCCTAATCTTTAGAAAAACATTCCTGGAAGGCACTCTTAGGGAGAGAGCTTCATTTCCTTTCTCCTCCAGGCATCCCACTAGAATCAGGGAAATGCCAACAGGCTGTGTACAAATGAATATGTATCTTTTGAGAGCAAGTAATTTTACCCAGTTTCTTAAGCCATTTTCTTGCTGCTAAGTTTTAGATCAGCTTTGGAAGGTTATTTCTGGTTAGAGGAAATATATAAAGGAACACTATTATGTGGTTTTATTTATTAGTAGTTTATATTTGATTAAATATTATGAGTAGTTCCTAAGTTATGGAGTATCACATTTCCTCACCTTGAATTTCACAAAATTCTCTGTATGAATGTGCAGAATTTGACATTTTGCAAAGCAGAATCTTAAATTTATATCATCAGATATAACATTTATTTTATGTATTTAACTGGGAATAGGAAAGTAAGGAATGGGGAGAAATTACACTTTAATGTACATAGAAACAGTGAATTCTAGGAAAGGCCTCTGTGTTATAGGAACATAAAGAAAATGGTAAAGTAGAGGTTACTTCCCCTCTACACAAATGATGGATACAGCACTGTACTCACAGCCAGGAGTAAAGCTAAAATTCTGTGCTTCCTCACATAAGAATGGTCTGTCATTATGTTTCATGGCTTCATCGTAGAAAACAGGCTTCATTTTGTCTAAAAATATTTCATTTTAGAAGAGCTCCTATAAATTCGGTCTGAAAATGTGGAAGGTGTTTTGGGTAATTATCCTTTCTTCCTAACTGACTTGAAAGCTTATAGAATTATATGCAACAATTATATGCATACTTGATTTTAATTCTTTAACTTTATTAATGTCACTTCAATTTCTTGTCAGCTCCTTTTCTGTGTAACGAGCCTTCCCAAATATTAGTGGCTTCACATAATAACCAACATTTTGTTTGCTCACAATTTTATGGGTCTGAGTTTTGGAATGGATTTCCCAGCCTTCCCTGTATCTATTGCAAGATGTGTTTCATGATCCAGCAACTAAGAACTTCCTGGGGGCTCTTCTGGGACAGCTGAACTTCTAATAGTCTGTATTCTAATGGGCTAATCTAAGTTTCTTCAGTCATTGGGAAAAGAACTCCTAGGATGGTATAGAAGGAAACACCAAACTGTAAGGGAGTCTTGAGCTTCTGTTTGTGTCATATTTACCAACACTCCATTATTCAAAGCAAATCATCCAACCCAGTGCAGTGTCAAGACAGGCATCATTAGAGTTCACTCCTGAGGTAAGCCAGCAATGGCCTCATCAGAAATAAAACAGAGAAAACAAATGTCAAAGACACAAAAATATTAAAAACCTGGAGTGGCAATTAGGTTCTCAGATCTTGAAAACTTGACACTATGCAGATTATTATTCTATAAATCTCTATTGGCACTTTTGCAAGTTATATTGAAAGGAGATATAAGTGTATATAAAATCTAAATATCTACTCAAAAAAGTCATTGGGTGATCAGCCAGAAATGACCAAATATTTAATAAAATATCTGAAAGAATATCCAAGACTTGCAACTTTGAAGTTTGTTTACTTAGACAAGTAATATATCTGGGGCACAAAATTTAAGCTAAGTGGACTTTTTCTTCTACTCACATTTATATTTCAGAGTGCCTATGAAAGAATTCTCAGCATAAACTAAAGAGCTGTCACTGGGGGCCTTATTCAGCACATGCTGAAATTAATTCATTTGTAACTCAAATGGTTGTTGAGTTGGCTGCTAGAAAGAAAATCCTGTCAAAATAAACTAGAGATATAAGTGCTGCATAGAACTCACAAGACAGGAAAAAACTGAACAGATAATACCAGCGGGAAGTAGAGCTGAGTGTCACAGTGCAGGGATTCATGGGAGAGTGTTCCTGGTTATGCCAAATGGTAACTTCATTCCTACACCTTTCAGCTCATCTAGCATTTTGCTATCAATTTTTAAATTATAAAACATTTATAAAAATATAAAAATTCTTTCCATTCTGTGTGATGAATTTCACTGTGGCAAATTCATCAGAAAAAAGATACTGGGTGATTCAATAATCAGATTCTCTTTTCTTGGGATCTAAAGGCATATTCTTCAAAATGTTCCTCCAAGGGAAGTGTTTTCAGTCTGTTATTCTTTATTGAATTTTTGTGTGGTTCATATAGAACGTCTTAATCATTTTATACCCCCTTCCCCATTGGCACCATTTCATTGCCCCCCCATTTACTGGATTTCATGCATTCTGTCATTTATTCTTGATGTTTGACTTTTGAAGTTACAGATATAGAGTCATAAAATGACTTTTGAATGCATCTTCTCCAAATTAGGGACAGCTTCGCTGAGTTCACTTGGGCATCTATAGGAAGATGTAAGGTTGCTTAAACAGACTGATACTTCTTATCATTCTAGAGGACTGCAAGTCCAAGATCAAGACACTGGATGATTTGGTCTAGACAGGTACTTCTGCCTTAGAGACAGCCATCCTCTCCATTTAAGTCTACATGGCCAAAGGGGCTCTCTGGCTCTCTGGAGTTACTTTTATAATGCTATTAATTCCAGTAATGAAGGTTCTGCTTTAATGAGTAAATCATCTTTTAGACCCCACTTCTAATTCCATCATTTTGAGGGACAATGTTTCCATACAGGAATTGAAGAACAGTCCTTTGGGTGATAAAAAAGGCATTCCCTTACCTCAATGTTGCTGCACTGTCAGCAAGGGATTTGCCTGTACAATCCATATCATGATGCTAGATAATCTTAGAAAGCACAGCTGTGTACTATTTGCACAATTGAATTGTTTTTATTGGATGTATGCATTCTTTTCATTGTCCTTATGCAAAATTACTTTTCTATATCTTAAAATACATGGACTTTATAAAAGTAACTAAAACATGCATTTAAAGAGTATTCTATTTAACCTTATATTGTTGTTTTCCTGGGCTTTAATAGCATTCTTTAACTGTAAAATATTGATTTTAACTGAATTTTTACATATTGTAAAAGGGGGAATAAAAATTTGAATCATATTACTCATAGAATTGTTTAGGGAACCTATTTTCTCCTTCCTAAAGCTTACCTTATAAACAAATGAGTCTTTATCATATATTTATCTGGAAGTTTTGATTGCCTATAAAAATACACTTGCACAGCAGATACAATATTTGGAGATGGACTTACTGTAGTTATATCATTAATCAGTAAGTCACATGTCATAACAGGACATTTAGACATAGATATTCTTAAAATTTTCCAATACTGGTCAGGCATCCTATTAGAAAAAGGTAAGACCCATTAAATCCTTAAACAATCATTAGAACTTTATTTCCCAACTCCTACCTGTGGATCAGTCATAAAAACTCACAAGGAACTAATACACACACGTGTGTGTGCACACACACCTGTGTCTTCTGTAATGAAATGTCAAGGGACTTTCTACTTCACTTTATAGTCGGTGTTTCTCTTTGAACTTCCTCCAGCAAGGAAAAGGAGGCTTATTCCAAAAGCAGTCCTAGTTATCAAATGGTTATGAAATAAAATTATTTTGTATTATATCAAAATGGTGCCCCTAGAACAAAGTTACTCTTATGATTATGTAATGTTCTGTGGGACAGTTATCAATCTAGCAATCTTTCTGCTTCTAATTAAAGCTTCCAGCTGCTGACATCATCTTGTCCTAATCAAGACCGATAGTGGCAGTGTCACTTAGAAGATTTTATAGAGCCAGTCAGTCTACAGCTCCTCATACTGAAAGCATTTTAAACTGGACAGTCTGGCTTTTTGTTTCCATCAAGATAAAAGTGGAGAAAGCTCCTGCCAGAGTGTTGTGCAAAGTAAGGGAAGGGGGAAGGGAACAAAGATAGTGATAAAATGAATTTTCTGTAGAGGTCAGGCTGCCAAACATAGGAGTCAGAGATTGTCAAAGTTATCAAACTGTTTTCACAGAGCTAATTAAAGGTACAATAATGTGTATTTGTAAACTATTTGAAAATACTGGAATTAACACCCTGAATTTGTGGCACTTC